TTCCTGCTGGATCAGTACTCTTTCTCTGAAAGTTTCAGCTGTCATTTTAGGCTGTTTCCCTTCATTTAAATGTTTTCCTATATGACTGGGCCCTTGCTGCTATTTCTGTAAGTTGTCTGTGTGTCTGGGTTGCTTTGTTGTGGAAGAAATTAAATGTTTTTTAATGACAGAACGGGGGAAGAAAAGAGAAAGGACTGAACAGGAGGAAAAAGACATTTGGGGCCAGTTCAATCCCTGATTTATTCCACTGGCTCTGTAAGACGTAATGCATTTGGAAACCTCCTTTTAAGAGGAATCTGCAGCTGATTGACTGGATGATAAACCAGTTTTTATGGAATAATCCACAAGACTGTTACGTTGGCAGGAGACCTTTCAAATAAGCAGACTGCTTGCAGTATTTTATGTGTGTGGTTTTGATAGTTTTTAATTTGATACAGAAATCGTTCAGGGGCGTGTGGGTGTGGTTCCTTCCTGCCCGGAATATTAGTTGCCCAATAGTTTGGTACCATAATGTATAAGACTTAGTCCTGTAAGTCTTTGAAGACTTTGTTCTGGGATACTAAAATTCTAGGCAGCTGTAATTCAGCTATAAATGATTGCCTTTTTCCTGAAAGGCAGATGGGAAGTATTTAATTTAGAAAAGGGATATAAGCGTTCATATATTTCTTTGTGTGGGCATCCTTAATCTGATACATGTCATGTGCTGAATGCTTACAGGATAACGTGATGTTTCTAATGTAGATTAATAAGGTTATGCACAGCATGTAGTCTCCTGTGGTACTTAGGATGCTGAGGCATACAAGATGATTCAGAAGAGCTAACGCCCACGTGTTCCCATCTACTTGTTTGAGAGCAGTAAATTTAGTGAACTGTTTAATTGTCACAAGATGAGTTCTGAGACGGTATCTATTCTTTGCTCCTCCGCGTTCAGGAAGTAATGGATTGTACATATTGCTGAAGAGCTTCATTCATCTTGCAACTGAAGTGCTGCTCTTTCTGTTCTTCTTGGGGGGAGGGAGGGAAATGCAGCATCAGAATAAGCATCTGGCAGGCCAGATTGTCAAAAGGCAGAATCAATCATTCAGCTCTGGAATGGTTGTGAAAATGCAGGAGAGCAGAACCAGCAGATAACTACAATCACACAGGAGCTCTTATGTCCAAGTCGTAGCAATGCATTTATGTTGACAAAAAGCCACAGGCCACTTGTGCGGAAATGGGACTCTGTATCATATGTGTTACTCTGCATTACTAATGAGGAGTGTAGCTGGAGAAACACAAAAGCACAGCACTGTTTAACATTAGGAAAGGAGCTTGACGGGGCTGCGTTATGTCAGTACACCTGTTTGGTATTCGTTGTAAATGCTACTGTACTCGGGCAGCAACAAGATTGGAATTTAAATGGGAAAAAACAGATGATGTAGTCTCAGGTGTGCTACTAATGCTCTGCTTTGAGCATTTTTAGGCTTCAGCTTCCATTAACCTGCTTAGAAAAATAATAGCTGAAGGCCGAAGTCATTACAAAATTTGCTTAAAAGTCTCTCAGCCTGGAACAGCTCCAGAACGCCTTGCGTTCAGGCTTCACTGGTAATAACTGATTAGGGCTCTCAGGACATGTTTGAAGTCGGTCAGGAGTTTCAAATTGCTCGTTGCTGAGGAGTGAAAGGACTCACAGGCTCGCTAAACAGTTTTCCCAATGTTGTATGCATATCCAAGTTACAAAAGTGGGATTAGAGCCTAGTCCCTGCAGCAGAAAATGTTGGGGTGGGAGGTACTTCTGCAAATACAGAAGTACAGAGCATGCGTTTCACAGTGAAGGATATTCAGGGGACCTGCCACTAAAAGTCTTAGCAATGGTCCATTTGTTTTGATAACTGGTGGGTAATGAAATAAGCAAGAGGAAGGTACAGCGCATGCAATCAGGCTTGAATAGACACTGGCTAGCTCCATCGTTAGATTAGAAAGCTGGAATTATAAGTAATAAATGAGAGAGTTCTGAAATATGCAGCTCTGATTAAATATCAAGAATGACGCAGATTTTGAGATCTACTCTTGGAGGAAAGCAAAGAATTTGAGCTGGACTGAAAGCTGGGCTTAATGATGTGTCAGTAATGGAGAGTTTCTGGAGAAGGTGACAGTACAAGGAACCTGAAATGGGGAGAAGCTGAGAGGTTAGCAGGAGTGAGCAGAAGGACTTTCTAAGGCAACAAAGAGGTGTGACTACAAATAGTTAAAACAAGTTGTTTTTCTGTGTTCAGATGCGTAATAGCTACCAGTGTTTTCCATATGAAGCTGGGAGAAACAAAACTGAACCCACTCATCTAGTAGTCAGAGTGTAATAACCATACTGCTACTGTACATTCTCTCATGATGAGAGTGAGGTTGCTTAAAAAAACGAGAAAGTATAATAATACTACTGCTGCTCTTACCTGTACAACATACCACTTCTTGTCCTTTTGCATATTCTCAGGAGTTTTCAGGAAAAACTCTTATATAAAATGTGTAATAGCTGGACTGTTAGGCAGAATACTTTACAGTGGAAATGAAATGCTTTTAAATGCAAGATCTTATGCATATAACATGCACTGAGATAACTTAAATTGACAGTTAAAAATCAAAAGTTCTGAAGAGATTCACTTGTCTGTCTTTCTCTTCCTTTTCCTACTTGCCAAGATGTGAGGCCAGAGTTCTGTGACTCTCCTACAGTAGCTCGTGACAGCTTTGCCGGGATAAAGGTGGCTCTATTTTCCTTTGAGTTTTGCTGAGGTCAGGATCGAGTCTCTGATCTCTGATTTTGGCAGATAACTAGAAAGTAGCACTTAATTCCAAATTTGTTTTAATGCATTCTCTTTGTAAGGCAGGATTCTGTAGCTGATTTTTCAAAAAGCACTTCAGTTCACCTTTAAATGCCATCTTAAGGATGTTAAAAAGCCGAAGGCTTTCATGCCAGACTTCTGTTAAAACTTTAATAATGTTCTTAATGCGGAGACTCGTGATTAGTCTTAAAAGCATGATTACGTGTTACGGAGTTTCACAGATGTCTTTCTTTTATCAGTAACTTATTTTTGTTAAAGCATAAGTAAAACATCTATGTTTTGTGTTCAAACTATGCTTCACACAAAGTTGACTATTTTAAAATTTTAAAAAGTTTGATTTTCATCCTTTGAAGTCTTTGAATACCTGTGTAACAGTGTTGCGCTCTCTTAACAGAGTTTTGAAGGTACCATTGTGTGGGAAAGCCAGGATCCTCAGGGCCTTGTTTCGAGAAACCTTCACAAAGTGACGGTGAACGATGGAGGGGGTGTTTTCAGAGTCATAACAGTGAGTCACCCAGTCATATTTCTTTCTTTCCAATCTTTTTTTTTTTTTTTTTTTTTGCAAGTCTCAGGTATCTATCATTTTGCTTTCCTCTGTTTCTCTGTGAATTGTTAATTCGTCTAGGCTGTTTCTGTTGGCTCAGGGTGAAGCGTGTTTCATCCGGGAAGTAGGATATGGCGTGCAAAAAATGATGCTGCTGAAGTGCATGTTTTTTCTTTTAATTTGAAGGGAGTATAGTTCACTCATTGTCAGCTGTTAAGCTGTATCAGTATGTGGAAAATGGCAAAATGGGTCAAAAATCTTGTACTGAAATTTCCAATGAAATCCATGGAATTGAACTTGAGTTTTTTGGTGGGTTAGTTTGTTTTTGTTCTACTTTTTGTTGAATTATGGCAGTGTCTCTTTTTCCTGTCAAAACTTTGCTTGATTAAATATGCTGTACCATTGTAATTAAGCTAGATTAGCTTTACACTTCCATCTCAACCTCAAAAACAGCTTTCTAAAAGTTTCAGTGGATGGTGAAATAAGTCTATTTGAGGTACTCAAAGTTGCCATGGTTTTGAAGTCCCAATACCGCTAGTTTAGGTGCAACTGTCAAAACTCTCACAGAAATTTATGGTTAAAGTATCTTTCATTATGCAGGTACCTACACCAGAAAAGCTTTACATTAATTTCATTCTTAGTTACCAGAAAACTTTACAACGCAAAGTCTCAGAGAAAAGCATCTCAGTAATGAGAGATGAACTAATTTCTTTCTTTCCATTAATCTGTTCCTAGCAGGCAGGGGAAGGGTCATTGCCACATGAATTCACAGAAGGTGTGGAGGGAATAGCAGGTGGTTTCATCTACACTGTTCAAGGTAAGTCTGCAAAAAGTAGCATCATATTTGATGTTGTGATACAATAGGATCAGTAATTACATTTCTGAGGTAAAAATCATGCTATCTCTGAATTTAATCAACTTAAGAAGTTTTATTTTAGTAGAAACAATTGATTTTTCTCCTATTTTATTCTGCCTAATGGCAATTTCCTGATATGGTTTCTTTGCTTTCCCTTTGTCAATCACTGCAGTTGGCTTTTATTCCTTTGTCCTTCTATTAACAGAAATAACATTTCTATCTGGACTTGCTTCCCTGGCCTTGTTACCAAACCCAAGTTAAATGTTGTGTAATAGTGCCCTTAACAAATATTTCCTTGACTTTTGCATTTGTCCAGTCCTGCTCCTTCTAGAATTAGGAATACTGTGCCATAATGTTAAATATTAACTATGGACAAACAGTGACTGCCTAAAATAGCCAATTTTTTCCACCTCTACTGGTGCTATTTTATACCTATTCCAGCAGGCTATTCAGAGACCAGATAGGAGCCCTTTCCAACATCTGGGCTTTCAGCTACATTGCACTGAAGTTGATATCTGCAATGGTTGTGTTATCTGTCCATCATAGCCAACACAACCAATGACTTTCAGAGCATTGTTCCTGTGCTTTTGTAGCTAGACCTGGCAGATACAGCTGGGCAGTCCTGTCTTGTCATTTGTGTAGGAGCATAAACTGAGGTGTGCTAAAGCCCTTTCCCATCCTGTTTGTCAAAAAGTTCAGTACCCACAGGCTACCTCCTTTATCAAGAAGTTCAGTATTACGGTATCTCTTTAGCTTTTACCTACAGTCGATTATGTGATGCAGTTTTTTCAGGGACCACCTACGCCAAATCAGAGCAATGTCAATGTGATAATACTTAGCCTAGGTGTTTTCTTGTTTCGCGTTGGTGGTGGTGGTGGTGTGGTGTGTGTGTGGTGGTTTTTTTTCCTCTTTTTTTTTTTTTTTTTTTATGCATATGCTTAGAATTCACTGGTGTAATGAAGAACAGCCTTGCTAACGTTCCTGTAAGAGTAACACTGAAACCCCAGACAGCTCCTTAAATTAAACAGCCTTAAAAAGTTGAATGCTTTTGTTACTGAAAAGGAAGAAAGTACCTTTTTACTTTAAACATTATATAATCTGTATCAGACCTAATAAAAAGTGTGTGTGTGTATATATATGTATATATATTTATTCTTCCGTACCTTTTTTTGTTGATTACAAATTTTTAAAATAATTGTAAGATTTTTCTCAACTGGATTGAGTGGGACACTTTTTCAGATTCATTTTGTCAATATGTTGTATATGATCCAAGAGAAGCATGTGAAACAATACGTAGATATACGTTTTTGTCTGATGATCAGTGCTGCTTTTTTCAGAAGGTGATGCTCTCTTAAAAAGCCTGCATACTCGCCCTGAAAGGTTTGCAAGTCATATAAAAAATCTTGAAAAAGAAGATGCTTTATTGAAGGAAGAAAGCAGTACCCATGATGATATTGTTTTTGTAGATGTTGTTGACACTTACAGAAACGTTCCAGCCAAACTGCTGAACTTCTACCGATGGTAAGTTGAAAAGAAAGCCTTTTGTCTAAGGGATTACTGTTGTTGTTTTGTAGTGCAAGATAATCCAGCATATTATGTTATCTGACAACTTGCACAATTAGCTGATAAACCATGGAATAACCTCTAGAATTTTGAGCTTCCTCAGTTATTTTACAAGTGACAGTGAAATTTTTTCAGACAGTTCAAAATTACTTATTTCATGTTTGAAGAGTGCTTTTTCCAAGGAAGAATAAGTACAAAGCTGTTACCACAGATGTTCCTTGTAACCTTTTACTGTTGTACTGCCCTCGAGCTGATTGTCTTATCCTGAAGAATAAGACTACTGACCCTTTATGTAGTCACTGGCTTTTAACAGCTGTGCTGCAGTCATCGGCAGGAATTCATGTCCTTGTGAGGTCAGCGCTATTTAAGACAGATTCGTTATAAGTAAACCCACCATCTGTCCTGGAGAACAAAGCCCTTTCTTCAAGTTTCTTTTCTTCAGCTCATACCCAAATCCCTGCTCTAGGATCGTATTATAGCAGCTGCCTCTCCTCTCTGTAGGACAAGCAGTCAGCCTTGGTCAATAAGGAAAACGTTTAAAGGCTGAGGGAAGGGATATGTGTCATTCCGTCCTCCTTTCAACTCTGCTTCCCAAAAAACCCTGGCAGAGGATCTTGTTGCATAAATGTAGTTTGTGGGCTACAGCTCAGCATCTCATCACTTTTCTTTTTGGCTACAGGACAATTGAATCAACAAGCTTTGATTTGTTGCTGAAGACAGATGATGACTGTTACATTGATTTGGAGGCCGTTTTTAACAGGATAATGCAGAAAAAACTGGACAGGCCAAACATGTGGTGGGGAAAGTGAGTCTTTCAACTTCTCTTAAAGAGATTGCTTTAAGAGAGATTTTGCGTGCGTGTGTGTGAACAGTTTACTACTTTAGGACTGTTTTTGTGTGGGCTCCCCTGTTCTGCCTATAGAAGTTGCTTTTAAGAGCCGACCTTTCATAAGTGTAGGACTTTGAATCTTCAAATACAGAAATGGATACCTTACAGAAGCTTTCCAGAATGTGCCTTTACAACAGGTTGAACTTGTCATATACTTTACCTAGCTTTAGAATGTGTCTTTGTCATGGGACTTTAAGTAGTAAATAAAAATATTACAGAGGTGAGGTAAAGTTAAAAATGGAAGTACATAATGGTGTTGTGAACATTACTTCTTTGGAAGCCATTATAGCTTTTCTGGTGGGCTTGGAAATGGAGTAAACAGGAGAAACAAAATTGACTTCATAGTCTGCCTATTATTTTGAAGTCTGTGCATGACAGACCTTACTATCAGTTTTGCTGTTGACTGAAACGGTGAGTCTGATCCAAAAATTCTCAAGGGAAGTTCCTCAGCCTGCATTACGCTTGTGAATAACCAGATGATCAAAATAGCCTATCTTTCCCCTTCCCTCCCCATTCAAGACATACATAGCTATGCTGGTATAATATCCAGTATAATGCAAAGGCACAAATATGTCTTCCTGTTGCTATCTGCTTACTGAGGGAGAGCTGGCCTTTGCTGCTAAAGATGTTTTCCTTCACAGACATAGTATTGTGTTGCTCACTCTTAAGGTGATTAATAAAATGGAGGGTGGAATATCTCGTGATAGTCTCAAAGATCTGTTCTGTGGCCCGTATAACTACTTGAAGGGCAAATGGTTTAGTGCCTGTTAAATTTTCTTGGGACCACCAGGCAAGGCTAAGAACGAAAGTAAGATAGGTTAATTCTAGCAAGGTAGATGACAAGACGGAAACCAACTTGCAAAAGGAAAAGCTGCCGCACATAGAAGCTGCCTGGGCTGCTTTTCCAGTTGCTGTAGGGAAAGCTATTCTGGAGCATGTTCTCCACTGCAAGAGCAAAGAGATTGCCTTCCTTCTCCCTGTTGACCCTGCATACGCATCCCTTTGTGTTGCTCCTTACTGTGGGCTTGTTCCTTGGTCCACGGTGAAAACTTTACTTCAGCTAATCTAGAGCGTTTTAGGACTGCAGGCTGGAAAAACAAATGGTCTAGGTATCCTACTTCAGAATTTTGGCTCATGTTGCAGGGAACATACTTACCTTAGTTACTGTCCTTTTAAATCTACAGTCAAAGACTTAGTCTTCCGCTGCCATGACAGATAACTCTGTCAACGATCACTGATCATGTCTGCAAATGACCAAATTTATGATAAAGTAGAAGGTACCAAGCTGTTTCCGAGGGGGACTGAATCTGATGTGAATGTCGAAAAGGCAATTCACTGAAGTTAGCTCACCTACAGCACTATAAAAAGCAGTGGGAGTTCAGAATGGTGCCTTTTCTTCATCTTAGTCCAAGAAGAAACTTCATGCACTTAAACAGATCTTCATGGAAAACTTCAATTTGTAATATAAAACCCTTTTTTTGTGGGGTGCAGGATATGCTGATACCTTCCTGTTCTAGTAACTGACTTCTAGGCTTGCCTTAGAATAGCCATTGTATGAACTTAGGAGAATTGATAATACTTTTTTCTTCAGACTGAAAAATGAATTTTGCTGAGTCTCTCTAGAGAAGTGGTGTGTTAAGGTAATAAGTAATCAAGTAATTTTATTCCTGGTAGGTTACCAAGAAGAGGAAGAGAAGTGGTATGTATGCAGGGAGGGGAAAAAATGGACAAAATGCATCACCTCCTCTGTGGCTGTAGAGAACTTTCTGTAGGGGTGACGCTTTCAAGTGTAGATTCTCTAATTGTCACAGTCTTCAGATAAGACAAGTGGGAGATGCAGTGAAGAAACGAGGTGGAAATTACTATAGGGAGTGTAAGACCATGAGCACAGAACATATGCCTCCATCTGGGGGGGGTGGGGGGGGGGAGTTACAGCCCTCTTGCAGTGACTCACTAGAGTGGGAGATAGATACCTGAATTCACTTAAGACTCAGTATCAGATGTTGCCTTTATCTACTTGGTGCTTTCACATGTCATCTTCAGCTGTGAATGTAGTAACGGAGCTGACCCTCAACTGTAACTGCTCACTGTTACAGTGCTGCTGTCTGAAGTGAGACTTCTTAGTAGCTCACCAAAGTTTTAAGCTTTTTATGCTCATGACTGAATTCAGCCACACTTTAACCTGTTTGCAAAAGGGAGAGGATCTGCTGTGCTGACCAAGTTATGCCAGTTAGCTGTGAGGACGTGAAATATTTGTAGGGTTTTCAGTATAACAACAGCTTGTTCCCAATTGGAAAAGTAGGGCATTTATCGTGGCTGATTAGGGCAGCCTAACAATGCTCTAGTTTTGCGTGGTGCAACACAGTGTTAAAGCTAGTTGTGCTGCACTGATTGGGAGTGGGAATCAGTGCAGAGAGACTGTTCAGACAAAGCATTTCAGACTTTTTGCAGACATCTAGGAGTAAGTATTATCCTCCTCAGAGGAAAAAAAACCTTCAGGAAGGTTTTTGTAATTAAGTGATGGTGGCCTTTGCTGAACATCTGCTTTGTTGCCGTTCATTGGGAAAACAGCATAGAGAAGGTAAGCAACTCCCTCAAAGCTTGAACAGCAAATCAGTGGGTTAAGAAAATAAAGCCAAGTCTAGCATTCCTTTCTAAAAGGAAAGATGGTCTTTACTGTAACCAGGGCCAAGTTATCTTGATAGGCGTTTTGGACTAGCTTAGTTGTTTTGGGGGCGATGGTATACAAAAAGAATTAATACTTTGTCTTGCTTCCTGTTTGTTTTAAAGCAGCCACTAGTTTTATCAGGAAAGTAGGTTGTGTAACATTGCTGCAAGTGCACGTGTGCTGGGAAGCCTGGCATTGTGTAGTGTTGGGTGAACTAAGGGGATTGGACACTGATGCGACTGCTAAAGAACACGTGTAAGGAAACTTGTACTTAACTGAAGCAAAACCCAGCAGCAGTGCAGGCATACTGAAGATGAGACTGTCAGTGCTGTATAGGTTTCTCTTTTGAGACGTTTTTCTTACTACCTGAGATTGAGCCCAAACTGTACTTCAAGCTGTTGTGTTGGATTAGATGCATGACCCTAGAGAAATAAGGCTATGATGTGAACTATAATTAGGATCACCTTCTACTTTCTCCTCTTAATAGTGTTTGAGTGTTACTTTAGCTTTGTTTGTGGGTTTTACAGAGGGCTTTGTACAAACATCTCACGTGACTAACATGGTCTTCAGTTTCAGACTAAATTGGGCAGTTGATCGAACTGGGAAATGGCAAGAGCTAGAGTATCCAAGTCCCGCATATCCAGCCTTTGCTTGTGGGTCTGGCTATGTCATCTCCAAAGATATCGTTCAGTGGCTGGCCAGCAACTCTGAAAGATTAAAGACTTATCAGGTACTAAAGCATCAGTTCGGTTTTTCTACTTTAGCCTGGTTTGGGGAGCAGTGTATGTACTGGATAAGTGGGAAAGCACACTGCACAAGTGGATGTTAGTACTGGGTTCTCCTGGTTGATGCGTTGGCTTTTTAAAGTGCATTAGTCACTGTCTCTAGTGTCTGTTCTGTGCCAAAGCACAACAGCTCCAGAGGCGCTTAATCCAAAGCTGTATTCTCAGTTTTTTGTACTGGTTTCCTTGAGAAAACAATTTACTGTTTTAGCAGCTCTAAAATACTCAGTTGTAGCTCTTCATTGTTACCATATTTACTGCAGGTACCTGAAGCAACTTACTCTAGTTCAAAGTCATGCTTTTCCAGTGCTCCTATCTATACTTTTTCAAATGTGTTGTCTCAGGGTGAAGACGTGAGTATGGGCATCTGGATGGCAGCTGTAGGACCTAAGCGCTACCAAGTAAGTCTGCTGGAGGTCTCTAATCATAGAGCAACAGTCATGTTCTCCTTCTTTAAGTAGCCCAAAGCATGGGGGGGGGGGGGGGGGAAAAAAACAACACAAAAGAAGGAGCCATTGGATAAAATCCTGAAAACACTTGCTAAAATGTTTTCCAAAAAAAAAAGGGGGGGTGGAAGGCTGGAGTAGGAAAAGAGCATTCGCAAAGAACAGAAGCTAAGACATGCTCCTGCACAGGGGAAGATTTGCTCATCTAGTATAATGTTTGCTCTCTGGCTCAGGGCTTTCCAGAAGCTTTTCTGCATGAGAGTCAAGAGCACCTTCGTGATGCTGGGGGAACGCAGTCTTCCACTGCTTGGATGACTTCTCACACTACTAGGTTATTCTGTAGAAAGGGAGCAAAACAGCTAGATCAGTTTTGAAAAAAAAAAAAACCATATGAATGTGCTTTCTTGGTCAAGCGTGTGGATGTGGATCAGGCACAAGGAAGTAGGTCCATATGCAGAAATGAGCTGAAGTTAAGCACTTAAATTTTCAGCCTCAACTCAATAGGTGCTTCCATGGTTAAATAGTGTGGCCTGTAGAAATGCAATCTCTTTGGATCTAGCCATCTGCATTAGGCAGGACTCATCTTCAGCTATGAAAATTAAAAGCTTAAGACCAAAACAAGTTAGATTCATTAATGTTAACTGCAGCCTGTGGTTAACCACAGCCACAGGTCTGTAAGCCTGACCACCAAGTGTAAAATTTTGTGGTTTTTGGTGTTGTTTTTTTTTTTTTTTTGAAGAGTTCTCTGGGATAGGGTCACTTATTACTAAGAGCACCATGCTGCTCAATCAAAGTGGTTAGCAGTGGTGTTTTGCCCTTAAAGAAAGATAGGTGTCTACTTGCTCTCATTTTTGTAGGAGGCAACGTCTTCTGCCTTCGAAAAAAGCTGCTGTGTTGAAACAACCTCAAACTTAGCTGCAAACATCAGCCATGATGTATCATTTTGCTCTACTGGCATCCTGCCATACAAGAACAATATACAGGCCTTGTTAAGGGAATCAAAAATGTTTTTCATCCCATCTTCTCTTCCCAGTTCTCCTGAAAGCTATTATTTCTGGCAGCCACTTTACACAGCTGCTAAACTTTGCCTTCCAAACAGTTCCATTGTTAAGACACCTAACTTGAAGAGATTTTTTCCCCCCCCCCCTCACTTTTTTTAAACAAAAATTGAAGCTCCTAGGATAATTATATGTAAGCATTTGTGCCCCCCCCAGAAAAAAAGGACTCTCAGAACTGAACTGCTCTAGCAAATCACGTAGGGACTCTAGGTGTACCTCTGGTTGGTGACCTTTGTGTGCAGAACTTGTTGCTGCAAGCAAAGAAACTTAAGTCTTGGCTGTAAAGTTTTCTTGGAAAGACCTTAATCGTCATCAACAAACCCTATTAAAACTGCTGTCTCTCTTGACAGGACAGTCTCTGGCTGTGTGAGAAGACATGTGAGAGTGGCATGCTGTCTTCCCCTCAGTATTCTCCACAGGAACTGAGAGAGCTCTGGAGAGTAAAGGAACAGTGTGGAGATCCTTGTAGATGCGAGGAAAGATGACAGACTTGTCTCAGAAAACAGAGTAGCATATAATAATCATGCAAAAGTGTACATTTGGCTTCATTTTTGGAAACAATAAGGACTATTAAGGTATCATTTAATGTTGAGTTTCAACTAAAGTGTAACAAATATTTGCACATCCCTTTTGATAATTACAAGCGGACTGACGCTATCCATTTTATATAGCGTAGATGTTGATCAGACAAAACCAAAATGTTTAAGATAAGCAATTTCCTTTTTATATAAAGTCAAAGAACTACTTGTAATTAATAAATGCACATAGGAATGCCAACTAGCCTGTCTTTTGTAAATTACAATACTACTGATTTAACTCTGGATAGAGCTGTACCAGTATCCAACCAAGAGCTGTACTTGGTACCAGGGCACCTGGTAAGTCTTGTTAGCATCTGTTTGAGGGGTTGCTCTTAGCTGTGTGGGGGTTGGGACAGCTGGGGTTTAGGATTTATATTTAGTTCCTTTATACCATTGTCACTGTAGTTAGAATGATATCAAAGTCTGCTTATACCAAATCCTGAAGTACTGCAAACTTAGCCTGACTCAGAGGGATTTCTGATAGCATAATCTATCATTAGATATGAATCTGAGGATAGACAGTTGAAAGTAAAATAAGTTTGAGCAACAGAACATTAAAGACTATAAAATAAATAGCAATGCCCTGCCGGACGCTGAGAAACTTATACTGCGGTATGTTAGTGCCGTAGGTAGAATAAAGGTCTATCAGATTTTGACCTTAAATAGTCTAAGGTGTGTAGATACTTCTACAGTTACTGCTGTTCTATTTCTGTTTGCTTTAATGTCCTTGGAAGTAGGTGAAAACCAAAAGGTAAGTAGTAGCCTCTTTCAGTGCAGCACTAATTTGGGAGCTATTGCAAGCAAAGATTGCACCTAGAGTATATACTCAGTTCAGTTGAAAGAAAAAAAAAAAAAAAATCTTACCACCTTACCACTGCAGCAGGAAAGTAGCATAACATACTGGCAGAAGGGTTTATTGATGGATATAAGCACTGTCTGTTTGGTATCTTTCACATGAGACTTCACCCAAAAGCAAATGCTTTCATGAAGACTGACTATTAAGTTTAAGAGCCAGAAGTATTATCGTGTAGTCCTCTGATACCATTTATGTAGTCCACGTTCTTCTATACAGGTGTTCAGTTATGAGCTGTAGATGCCATCTGCAAGCAGCCCATACCTCCTCTTCAGTTCCAGTGCTTGGTTTTCCTTCAGTCCATCAAGAGAGTCCCTTTTCACCACCGCACTAACACAGAGTCCCCATTTTCTATTGAGTAAAACTGCAAAGGCTTTAGGTCATTGTCTAGTTCAACTTCCTTTCCTTTCAGCTGGAATAAGAAAGAAAAACTGATCAGATTTAAACTAAAACCTGTTCATGTAAAGCAAATTTAAATCAGGCAGTTGCAGTCAGGGAGGATCTGTAATATATTACAGGAATTAAATTAGGTCCCAAATTACAGCATGAAGACCGCCCTGCTTGAGTGAAATCTATTTCGTTGTGTAGTATTTCAGAATGTGCCATTGATCTTTAGCAGCATGAAATCTTTTACTGCTGAATTACAGAATTTTAACTCACTTTAGAACTTTCATAGGACAGTTTCAGTTCTGAACCAGGTATTTTGAGTAGGCGATACAGCAATCCTTTGACTCGCTGAATAGTCATAGAATCTGTCAAAGGCAAAGAAAAAAATTACTAGAAAAATGCTGCTACCACTGAGCTATATAGCAAAGTACTAGTGTTTCAAGTATACTTGCTGATAGCTGTACTGCTGCTTCAGTTCTAACACTGCAATAATGTCTTTTGTATCTGAAATAACTGCTAATATCGATTTGAAATCAGTTTAATCTCTGGTGGATCAGACAGAATATACTATTACTGTTTAAGTGCTTTGATCCCATGTACCAAATTAAAATGCAATGGCTTCATAATTTATCTTTTTGGGGTTTCTCTTTGAAACATACTAAAATAAGTGACCTTTGGGACACAAATCAGTCAACTTCTGACTACTTGCATCTGGCAACTTTTCCTGAAAGTTTCCATACCAGGAACCAGCTCTCTCAGCATAAAGAAATGAAAGTCACTGTGTAACTAGTGCCGTGCTCAGAAACATTACTACATTAATTAGTCCCAAACAAATTGCCAGCAGAGTTATGGAGTGGTTTGTATTATGAAGTCAGTTACACAAAGGGATATTTTTGTAATGGATCGTGATGGAGTAAATATCGTTTGTGCCAGAGGTGATACCTATGTTTTCAATAGATAAACTGGATATTTTGGTTAAACGTCACTTCTTTTGAAGCTTTATCTAAAGGCACAGCAATAGTGAGTTATTCCTGTAATACTGCACATTGTACTTAGAAAAATATTTTTCTATCAAACATTTTTGTAAAAGCTGTATCTGATTTTATGAAACTTGTGATAATAAATGTGGTTTTTATTTTAGATTAAAGCTTGAGGAAGTCTTTTTTCTCAAACTCCTTTCTGCTGCATTTTTCCAAAACTTCAGCTTTATTTAGAACAGAGTCTGTTCATTGTAGTTGTCACTGCAGGCGCTAAAACTTAACTTGGGAATACGTAAATACAAATTTGATGAAGGTTAGAATCAGATTTCTCATTCAACATATAAAATAATAGTAGATGTAAATATCTAGAATTGCAGACTAAGTAGTTGGCTGTTAAAACTTCATGTTCTTCTTAAGTTAGCATGGCCTCCACATTTCACACCAGTTACTGTGTCTGAGGCAATCAAAGGCTAATTAATCATGCAACCAGCAGCAGAGGTAGTCACACAAGCGTCAACTTTTTGATTTTTGAACTGGACTGAAGGTAACTGTAAAAGGGTTGGAAAAAAAATACTTTTTTCAAACAAATTCTACCTTTGTCTTTCCTTTTTAAGGCAGCATTTTCAAGGGAGTAAATTAGCTGCAAAGCTAGGGCCAGCTGCCACCCTTTGCTATAAACTTATTTGAAAAGAAGTTACTGTCAGCTGCTAAAACAAGAGAAATGGCGCCTTACCTGGTAGCTTTTTCTCTAGTGGCTTCTGCTCAGGTTTGTCAGGACACTTAATTGTCAAAGCTTAAAAAAAAAAAAAGAACAGGCACTGTTTAGTGAATGAATGTTAGGCCCTGTTCCATCAGGAGCACAGTTTTCAGCTCGGTTTTTACACAAGTTGTTCCCCTGACGCGACTCAGTCTTCTCTTCAAAAAATTAGGATGTAGCCTCTATGTGAGCAGCAAAGATGCCATTTAACAGAGAGTAGCTCTTATTTTTCAGAGAACTATTAAAGTAATAAATGAAAATTTAATGTTCTTGATAAATTAGGGAAAACAAAAGTATTTATTAAGGAGTTGCTTTAGAAACATTTAGTGGTCAAAAAGGAATATTTACATAAAAATGCTTCATTTCTTGTTATTTTTTAAAATAAGCTGCAGCAGAAATGGCCTGCTCAATTTAAAGCAGATTTTAGACCCTCAGCATCACAAAAGCACAGTACAAGTACCTTTTGAGGAAGTTACTAGCCTTCCTGTTTTTTTTTTCTTATTCAGAGAGAGACTTTAGAAACCTTTAGAAAAGTTTTCTGTTATGTCTAGTCAACTACATTCCTTGTTCTAGTTGCTCTTTCACCTAAACACATTAGATGATAGTGCCTTACAAAACCATTTTGCCCATGGAGTGAAGAAAAAAAAAAAAAAAAGGCTCCGTTCTTCTGTCAAGCAGAAAACAATGACATGAATTTGTACATCTGGGATGTAACCTAGTTTAAATATGCACACAGCCCCAAATACCAAAGCAAGCTACCCTTATTTTTCTTCTGAAGTAGAGAAGCTGTCAAAAAAAAAAAAAAAAAATCAGTATCAAAGTAGTTTAGCTATTAAAGTTAAAATCTCCAATCTATTCCAGGCTGTAGAGGAGTCAGTCACATCAGCAGGATGCAATGCTAAATACCCTTATACCCCGCTAAGTCTTAATTAAGAAAATTATTCTAGAGAGATGGAGCATGGAGAGGCTGCGAACTCAATGATACATACAGTTCAGCACAGCAAAATTACAAGTTACAATTCTGTGAGCATGCAAAGGCTTTTCTACCCTTTATTCTCCAAATACATCCTGGGAATGCCCAGCTCATAACATACTTCAAATGCAGAAGCAATAATTTTGACCATTTCTGGCCTCTTACTCAGAAGCTGACTCTTCAGAGTCAAAGGCTGTTGTCTCTTCAGTTCTCCTTCTTCAGGTGCACCATATTCTGTGTGTGAAGGATAAAGTACATGTAGATGTGAATCAAAAATTCAGAGACTGAACAACTACACATGAGCTGTAAAAAGAACAGTCTAGTACTGGCTCAGACACCAGGCATAACTCTCTGTTGCCTCGGTCCCCTCAACTGGGGCACAGAGCACTGAAATGCAGCAGGCTCCAGCGCTGCTTCCTCGATCCTCAGCACTCAGCAGGGAGCGCGGGCAGGCACAGGGGCAGGGTGGAGCAGGCATCTGGCACACAGAGGTGTTGCTTCACATTCCTGTTTTAAAAACAGGAGCGTTTATGGGGAAATGCTCACAAGTCGCCTCTGGGGGCACTGAGCCCAAGTTCCCAAAGCAGTGGTGCCTGGAATGGTGCAGCGCTGCATGGCTGCCCCACAGCACTGAACACCAATCACATGTTGGGGCCTGCCTCAGGTGCGCTTTCCTGAGGCAGTAGGAGCACAAGCATCAAGTAGAAGGGAAGTAAACTGAAGAGAGAACAAACTAGTGCTACCACTAGTGCAAAGTACTACCAAAGTGTCCATTTTGCTTCAATTATACTTACTAAGGCAAAGCGATGGATATCTGGGATGGGCAGCAAGAAATTCTTCACTTGGTCTGTTTCTCTCCGGGTTCCCATGTCCACCAGCTGCTAGCCAGTCATTTCCAAATATTTTGCGATAATCAAGCTCTGCTCCTTTCCTTTCATTTTTTTTTGAGGGAAGGTCCACAGTATACTTATGCTGTCTTTCCCAAGAAGAAAATCTAATTCAGGATACTGACTCCTTGCTGTTACTTACTTAGGTGTTCAGTGCATCTTAAAGCTACCTCCAAGTACTGACTGATCCATATATGTATATGTGCGGCGATGATGTTACTTTATGATGCAAGAATGTTTTTAGCGCTATTTCTTGTAACTATAGAACAGATGCCGCTTCTGCTGTCTTTTATGATAATCATTTGCTGAAAGTTTGATTTGGTGTAGGTAAGATGCTATCTTCCTATTACAGAAGGCAAACGCTTTGTTTTTATTACAGACACAAACAGATTTAACAATGCAGCTTTTTTTTTTTTTTTGCCACTATATAGCTTTGTTAAAAGTCTTGCAACATCTGTAGGACTCGGGCACTTGAAAAACATTGCTCCCTTTTGTCCTAGCCCTCACTAAGTTTTAGCAGTGGTCAGGAACAGTGCTTGATCTTCTGATCCTACCTACTGCCTCATTTACTACGTGATGGAATAATCAGTACTTTACTTTTCCTACACCCAGACAAACAATAATCTTAAAACAAACTGAGAACAAATCCTCATTCAATGATTTAAAAGCTGCCTCCAATCTGCTTATGCAATTTGTTGAAAAATCACGTACCTCAGACTTGTTCAAAAATTCCAGTTGACCTATCTTAGCAATAATGAGCTGTCTCAAGGTCTCTGGGTTCTTCTCTGTGTCCATCAAAGGGTTATTGTGACACTGCAGTGACCGTAAACTTGGCAGTTTATCAAGCTCGTTGATAGATGACCACTGAAATGGAGAGGAACAGTCTTTGGAGCAAACATAAAACATACTTCGTTTCAGAACAATACACAGTAACATTGACTTTTTCTGTACAATGTCCATGACTGAAAGTGTTCTTTTGGTCAACAGAACCAAGTACTTTCATCTTGTTCATTTAGGTAAGAAGAGAATTGCATTCCATTTAACGAAGTGAAAA